GGAAGCCCCGTTCAATTCTGGAACTCACCAGAAGTCCGGTTCCCCCCACCATAGAGTCTCCTCCTAGCATGGCATCCTTTTTCCTCTGCTGTCCAGAAGTCCGGTTCCCCCTACCATAGAGTCTCCTCCTAGCATGGCATCCTTTTTCCTCTGCTGTCCAGAAGTCTGGTTCCCCCCACCATAGAGTCTCCTAGTGCGGCATCCTTTTTCCTTTTACTGACCGGCGACAGGGATCCTCCGCAGAGGGATGAAAAGGCCACACGCGGCTCCAGAGCCACAGATTGCCGACCCCTGGCCTACTCCATGGAGATTCTGGGGCAGGGGAATCTGCTTTGTACAACCTCGGTTTCTAGAAGCGTTAAGACTACAATCCCCATAGTTCCCAGCTTACCTGGGCTTCCCGGTGAAGGTAGCAGCTCCACCTTTCCGAGCGGCTCAAAAGTGCGTTGAACTATTACCATCTGGCAGACGGTACCGGACAATAATAAAAACAAATAGGCTGAAAAACAGCTTCTATCCCAGGGCAGTAACTCTATTGAATTCTGCTCTATAGTGCAGTGTCGGTGCGGTGTCGGGGGTTTCCGGTTCAACGTGTGGAGTGTGAAGGATGTGTGTTTGTGTTCGTTTTCATGGTCATGCTGTGCACTGAAGATGGTGTTTGACCTTGTTGTACGAGGTGCCAGGACAATACACTAAACTCGCCACCGTTTCCTTTGGGACCCTCGGCGTTGTTGTGTGTGGTCGTGTGACGGGCAGGGCAGGGATTCCTTTTCCGAGCCATCCTTGAAGCCACCATGCCACCGTTCCAGGGTTGCCTTCCGGGCTGCCAGCCAACCGGCGCTTATCAGCCCTTGTGCCGAGGATGTTGTGGCTCTCAAAACGCCCCGCCATCTGGCGCTGCCATCTGCTGCCTTTGCGTGAGCTCTGCACAAGGCAAGGGAGATGCCAGCTTGTGGGAACCCACTGAGACCCCACCCCACAGCACTTCCCGGCAGGGGCTGGGAAGACGCGGCCCTTGGCTTGCAAGTCCCTTGAAGGAAACCCCCCCCGCCCCCCCCCCCCCCCCCCCCCCCCCGCTGTTGCTTCTCTCCTGGCACAGAAAGCCCGCGAGCTCTCCGAGAAGGCCGCCCGGCTCAGGAAACAGGAGATCTTTCAGCTGAAATCCATCCGGCTGCAGCTGAAGCAGCGGGAGGCCGAGCTGCAACGCCGGAAGCAGCGGCGCGAAGCCGAGCGCAAACTGGAGGCCGTCAAGCCCAAGCGGCTGGGCAGGCTCAAGTAAGCGAGAGGGGCCAAGGTGGACTGGAGAAGGATGGTTGCAGGAATTGGGTATGGCAAGTGCAGTGGAGGAGAAGGACAAGGGGGTTCCAGGATCTGAGGGGCTTTAACAGATAATCAAGAGTCAGAAGGGACCTTGTAGGTCATCTAGCCCAACCCCCTTCCCAAGCGGGAGACCCTACACCATTTCTGACCGACGGCAGTCCAATCTCTTCTTGAAAGCCTCCAGGGATGAAGCTCCCACAGCTTCTGTTCCATGGGTTGATGGTCCTCACGGTCAGAAAGTTTCTCCTTATTTCCAGGTTGAATCTCTCCTTGTTCAATTTCCATCCATTATTCCTTTTCTGGCCTTCAGGTGCCTTGGAAAATAGCTTGACCCCTTCCTCCTCTCTGGGGCAGCCCCTCAAATATTGGAAGATGCTCTCCTGTCTCCCCCTGGTCCTTCTCTTCCCTAGACCAGCCAGGCCCAGTTCCTGCAACCGTCCTTTGTGGGCTGCCCCAAAGAAGAGGGGAATCGACTTATTTCCACAAGTCCCTGGAGGTTCTCTGTCATCCGGGTCATGGTTGTCCGAAAGATGCTTTTTTCAAGGGGCAACTGGACTTCCTGTTCTTTTTCTTGGAAGGCGTTTCACTTCTCCTGCAAGAAGCTTCTTCAGATGAGAGGCAAAACTTCAAAATGAAAACAAGAAAACCCAGTAGTGGCCTCTTGGAAAAAAAGCACCTTTGGGACACCAGAAGCAACGGATGGAAACTAATCTAAACTCAGCTAAGCAACCTGGAATTCAGGAGAAATTTCCTGACAGAACAATGAACCAGTGGAACAGTTTGCCTTCAGAAGTTGTTAGATGCTCCATCACTGGAGGTTTTTAGAAAGATACTGGGCCACCACTGGTCTGAAATGGTATAGAGTCTCCTGCTGGAGCAGTGGGCTGGACTAGAGGACCCACAAGGTCCCTTTCAGATCAGCTGACAGGCTCCAGGAGAAGAGCCTTCCCTGCCATCCCTCCCGCCCTGTGGAACGTCTTGCCCCCCGGCATGAGATCAGCTCCCACCCACCCAAACTCCCTCAGGAGCCTAAAGACCTGGTCCTGCCAGTTAGCTTGGGCCTCCAGTGGGGGGAAGCCTCCCAGGGGAGGTGGTTGATCCCTAAACAACAGATCCCATCTTCCTCCCCCCACCCCCAAATCCCGCTCCTGCCCGCCCCATCTTTTAATCGGGTCCGCAGCGTTTGGTTCTTTCAGATTATTCGACTTAATGCCTTTTAGTTTTTCTGTGGGTGTATTTTTTTTTTTTTTTAAGATTGTAAGCCGCCCAGCGTTACTCAACCTGGGGTAAGATGGGCAGCCAATAAATTTGACAAATAAAAGAAATAAAACGAGAGCAGGAAAGGGCTTGGATGGGGGAGAAAAGGGGGGGGTGGCAGAAAGCAAAGCTGCTCTCCTGTTTATATCATCTTTTTCCCGGCAGGTACGAAGAACCCGATGTGGACGTGCAGCTGAGCAGTGAACTGGCGGAGTCCTTGAGGACGCTAAGGGTAAGCGGCGCCCCAGCCTTTTGGCACCCCTGCCTGGCAGAGAGAGATGAGACCAGGTGGTGTCCCTGCCATCTTCCTGTCCTGCTGCAGGCCACCCATCTGTAGGTCTCCTTCGGGTGAATTCGGTTCCTCCTCTGCTCTGCGCCAGCCACGGCTCAAATTACGCCAGCCTCTCCATCAAGTCTCTCTCCAGCTGGGGCATCCTTGGTTGTTTGGAGCTGCTCTTCCCCATCCACTGAATGGTGCCAGGTTGCAGAAGGCTTTCATTTGGTTGTCTCTGGCTTGCTGGGAAGAGGAAGTGCCCAACCCCATTGCCCATTTGCGAGACGCTGGGCAGAATCCAGAAATAGTCCTCGACTAACAACAGTTCATTTGCTCAGCGATTCTTTGAAGTTACAATGGCCCGGGGGGGGGGGGGGAAGTGACTTACGGCCGTGTTTCACAGTTACCACCTTTGCAAGCCTCCCCTTTGGTCACATGATCAAACTTCAGATGATTGGCAACCGGTTCATACTTTACAACCGTTGCGGTGTCCCAAGGTCATCTGATCCCAGTGGTGGGATTCAGCCAGTGGGCACCACTTTGGGAGAACCAGTGGTTAACTTTTCTGAGCAGTTTGGTTGTTAGAAGAAATCAGGGCAGAGAACTGGTTTGTGATGACCCAAAGATCATCACAAAGGCAACCCAGTCAGATAATCAGTAGGAATCCCTTTATTAGCGCCAACTTTGCCCCCAATGTCCAGCTTACCTTCTGGGCACGAGAAAACAGCCTTTAAGTAGAGGAAATTCAGTCCAAAACATGGTCAACACAAACTGTAATTTTAAGTCCAATCAAGGCAAGATGAGGTCATTAGTCTGACGGGGCAGGAGCAAGAATTCCAGACATAAAGGCACGGCAATAGCTCAACACAGTTGGGAAGATGCCAGGAACACAGATAAGCAAAGTCAACACAAGATAAACTCACATTTGCTCCCAGCAGCTACTGCACTCAGCATGCATTTCTTTTAAACTCTCTTCCCAGCTGTGGCTAATGAAGGGAGTCAGGGCCCTTTCCTCCCCCATAAGCCATGCAACTCTTGTTGCTTCCTCCTCCGTTCCTCCCTGCGTGCCCTAGGATGAAGAGGGGGTGGGCTTCGGTCTTCCTCTGAACTCCCTCTCCCTTGTTCTACCTCTGCCCAGCCAGACTCTGCCCTTCCCCTTCCTCCACAGCCAACAGAGCCACACACTCCCTGTCAGCTGTTCGCTCCTCCGAGTCAGAATGGTTGTTAAATTATTTGAATCCCACCACTGCCTGATTTTTGCCACCCTCCGACAAGCCAAGTCAACGGGGGAGCCGGGTTCACTCAACAACCGGATGACTAACTTATTGACCGCGGTGATTCACTTAACATCGGAGGCAAGGAAGGCCGTAAAAGGGGGGCCAAGCTCCCTTAACGACAGAAGTGTCGGGCTCGGTGGTGATCATAAGTCGAGGCCTATACCTGTAGAGGCTTTGGGAACAGAAGTTGCCCTCGGAGGTTGTGGGAGCTTCATCCCTGGAGGCTTTCAAGAAGAGATTGGACTGCCCTTTGTCAGAAATGGTGGAGGGTCTCCCGCTTGGGAAGGGGGTTGGGCTAGATGACCTACAAGGTCCCTTCCGACTCTGATGATCTATTAAGGTCTGGCCCTTGGGGGGGGGGAAGAGTCCCTCCCCATGGAATGAAGGGAGGGTAACGGACAGAGAAGGGGTTCCGTTGGGGTGGGAGGGGGCTTGGGGCCTTTCACTATTCCACACACACACACACACACACCCACACACACACACACCTGGTGTCCAATGATGAGACCCATCCTTGCGCTCGGAGAATTTGCAGCAGCCGTTGCTGGGAATGTGAAGGACCCCAGGGGACCCCCTGGTCCTACCGAGTGGGTAAGGATCAGGGAACTGAGGCACCCTCCTGCAGCCCCCCTCCTCCCTTTCTCAGCAGGGAGGGTTGGTTTACCCCTTTAGCAAATGACACCCACCCACATACACACCCACCCCAAAAAAAAAGAAGTTTAAAAGCACAATTGCATTCCCGGTGAGCCAATACGAAACCCACTCTTTATTTACCCATTCAAAAGTAGACTGTAAGTAGAGCATGGTGGAGCTGCGCACAGAAAGTCTCGGGGCTCAAAAAGGGGTTTCCCCCCCCCCAAGAGAAGCAGGGAGGGGTCTCCCTTTCTAATGAGCTCGATTCCGCGCTTGGGGTATTTCAGCTTTTCCTGATGGATTCTGGGAGGTGCTTTTGGGAAGCCTGGCCCTTCCCTCTCTCTCCCTTCAGTGCCAGCAGGGATGGTGTGACCTAGTCTGGGGAATGAAACACCTGAATAAAGAGAGCCAAGCTCGGAGGGTGCCATGGAGGCCATATTCTTCTCCTCCTCCCCCCCCCCCCCCCCCCCCCCCCCCCCCCCCCCTAACACCGAGGATGTGACCTAGTTTGGGTCATGAAACGTCCGCAAGGAAACCACCATACTCAAGAGAGCACCAAGGACCCCCCAGTTGTTCCTCCTCCTCCTCTTCCTCCTCCTCCTCTCCAGACCCCACACCCTTCTAACACTGATAATGTTACCTAGTTGGGTCATGAAATGTCTGCAAGAAAACAGCCAAGCTCAGAGAGCACCAAGGGCCCCACAGTCCTCCTCTTCCTCCTCCCTACAAACTCCACTCTCTACTAGCACTTCTCAGGTTCCCTAGTCTTGAGTAACAAAGCGCCTGAACAAAGAGAGCCAAGCTCAGAGAGCAGCAGGGCCCCTTATTTAAACCCTCGGCTTGCAGGCGGGCTCCTTCGCACCCCCCGTCCCCTTCCCAGCTTCCCCAGCCTCCCACCCTGGCAGACCCTGAGAACAATCGCTCTTCCCTCCACCGAGCAGGAAGGCACCTCTCTGAATGTGCGTGAGGAGCCGAGACGGCGTGAAAAGTTCTACTTTCATCGCCCAGCAGAGCCTCTTCGGGAGGTTTGGGGGGGGAGGAGAGGGAGGGGGGTTGTTTTTTTGTCCCCTTCTCATTTCCCTTTTAAAAAAAAAGAAAAGTTGCAGGGATTGTATGAAAGCATTCAAGGCGGGTCCCTTTTTCAGAATGGCAGGAAACCACATCTGGTTCGGGCAGATGTTGGCCAAAGAGGTTGCTGGAGACCGGGAACGCAGGCATTTCCTCGACTTGCAACACTTCGCTTAGTGCCCATTCAGAGTTGCAACTGAAAAGAAGTGGCTTGTTTTTCACCCTTCTGACCCGTTGCCACGTCCCCGGGGCCACGTGATTTATATTTGGATGCTTGGCAGCTGACTCACATTTATGACCGTGGCAGGGGGTCCCCGAGGTCATCTCTTTTGCAACTTTCTTGTCAGTGAGGAGACCAGATTCACTTAACAACCGTGTTACTAACTTAACAGCTGCAGTGATTCACTTAACAACTGTCGCTTAGCAACAGACACTTTGGGCTTAATTGTGGTTGTAAGTCAAGGACTTCCTGTACTGTAAATAGAATTTCCTTTCTTCCCTCCCTCTCTCCCCCTTGTTCTCCTTCCTTCTTCCCTCCCTCCCTTCTTGTTCTCTTTCCTTCTTTCTTCTCTCCCTCCCTGTTCTTTTCTTTCCTTCCTCCTTCCCTTCCTTCCTCCCTATACTTGTTCTCCTTCCTTCTTCCCTCCCTCCCTTGTTCTCTTTCCTTCCTTCTTCCCTCCCTCCCTTCTTGTTCTCTTTTCTTACTTCTTCCCTCCCTCCCTGTTCTTCTTTCCTTCCTTCTTCCCTCCCTCCCTCCCTATACTTGTTCTCCTTCCTTCTTCCCTCCCTCCCTTCTTGTTCTCTTTCCTTCTTTCTTCTCTCCCTCCCTGTTCTTTTCTTTCCTTCCTTCCTCCCTGCCTCTGTCCTTCCTTCCTCCCCTCCCTCCCTGTTCTTGTTCTCTTTCCTTCCTTCTTCCCTCCCTCCCTCCCTGTTCTTGTTTTCCTTCCTTCCTTCCTTCCATCCATCCATCCATCCACCCACCCACCCCCCTCTGGGCATCTCTGATAGCTTTCCTAATTGATCTCTGAAACACAAAGACCAGCTGAGCCTCCCTTCTCCTTCCCCCTTCCCGTTCTCTGCTTGCTGTTGGGCCTCCTGAGCTCATGTTTTGTCTTTTCTCCCGCAGCCGGAAGGCAGCATCCTGAAGGACCGCTTCAAGAGCTTACAGAAGCGCAACATTATCGAACCCCGAGAGCGGGCCAAGTGAGTACCTGGGGTGGGACGGGGTGGGACGGGGCTTCTCCGATGCTGGTCACCGAAACCTTTGTTTTTCCTCCAGCTTCTAGCCAGGGGCCTCCCTTCCTTTCCTTCAAGGAGCTTGTGGCTCGTTTCCCTGACCAGCATCTGTGGCTCCCCTCTTCTTTCTAGCAGAAAGTGGTACCTTGCGTCCCCTAACCAGGACCATAAAGGGAGCGGCTTCGTATTTTAAATTTTACAAACTTATTTCTCACAGTTTTGAACGGCCCATCTCCCTCAGAGCAGGACTCTTGAGCAGCGTACAGTAAAATGTTAAACTGTAGGTAAGTCCTCGACTTAGCAATAGCTCGCTTAGTGACTGTTCAAACTTACAATGGCATTGGGGGGGGGAAGGGACTTATTTTTCTCACACTTAACGACCGTTGCAACATTCCCATGATCACGTGATGCACATCTGAAGGCTCGCCAACTGAATTCATAGTTATGATGGCCACAAGTGTCCCCAGGGGCCCCTTTTGCGAACTTCTGATGAGCGAAGCCAAGGAGGACACTAGATTTATTTAACAACCGTGCGACTGATTTAAACAGATGCACTGATTCGCCTCACCGCTCTGGCGAGAAAAGTCGTAAAACGGGGGCAAAATGCGCTTAGCCAATTTCTCACTCAGCATCATACATGGGAGCCAGTTGCCAAGCAGCTGGATTTTGATCACGTGACTGAGGAATGCTAACAACTGTCGTAAGTGTGAAAAACGGTCCTAAGGCCCTTCTTTCACTCCTGTTTGCAACTTCAAACGGTCACTAAACTCACTGTTGTAAGTCGAGGACTACCTGTGTAGTCCCTCATGCCTTGGGTACTTTGGTAAAACAATGGCTCCATAAATAAATTAGCAATAATTAGTGTATTTGTGCCTAAAACCTATTCCCACATTAGATCAGGAACTGTTATGACCCTGTCGAAATCTGATTTGGAGGGGGAGGCTGAGCAGCTGACAGGGAGTGGGAGTGTGGCTCCATTGGCTGTGGAAGAAATTGGGGAAGGGCAAAGGCCGGCTGCGCAGAGCAGGGGAGAGGTAGAGCAAGGCAGAGGGAATTTGGAGGAAGACGCAGGCCCACCCCCTCTTCATCCTAGGTCACGCAGGGAGGAACGGAGAAGGGAGCAATGTGGGTTGTGTGGCTTTTGGAGGAAAGGGCCCTGATTCCCTTCACGAGCTGCAGCTGGGAACACAGTGTTTAAAAAGGGAAGCTGCGCACAGCAAGTTGTTGGGAGCAAATCATGAATTTCTCTGGTATTGTTGTGGCTTATCTGGGTTCCTGGTGTCTTCCCAACTGTGTTGAGTTTTGCCGTGCTTTCAAGTCTGAAATTCCTTCACCTGCCCTGCCAAACTAATTACTTCAGTTTGGCTTGTTTGGACTTTAAGTTACAGTTTGTGTTGGCCATGTTTTAGACTGAATTCTGTGTAGTCAAAGAGAGTTTTTCTCCAGCCAGAAGCTAACCTGGACATTGGGGGCAAAATTGGAGATAATAAAGGGACTCTTATTGATTATCTGACTGTGTTGCCTTTGTGCCACGCCCCTTTGGGTCATCACAACATGTCAGAGAAGCTGTAATAGTGCTGTGCCACGCCCTGGGTCATCACAGGAACTGTTGAATGACACAAATTATCCGACACTATTGAGGAACCCCCCCCTTTAAAAAAAAAAAAAAGATTCTTAAAGCCAAAAGACGGAGAGCAGCTATGTAAGCTTCCGTTAGCTAAGTGATATTGATCGATAGGACAAGGAATGTCAACATTATTTATAGTGCTACATCTGTTTCCCTTGCACACAACTTGTGACAACAGCCTCTTTGGATGGAAACAAGCCAGTTTAATTTCCTACCTCCCTGGAAGGGACGTGCCTCAGCTGTAGAGGACTCTAAATAACGTGCTTTCTTCCCTGCCCAGGTTCAAAAGGAAATACCGACTGAAATACGTCGAAAAGCGAGCTTTCCGGGAAATCACGTAAGTTGCTTTGGGGCTGGGAAGAGCTCTGGCCAGACCAGCTGACCGGTCCAGTTGGGTTGAAGCAGGGCCAGGGTAGAAGGGTGCTTTAAGGCTGGTGCCTTTGGGATGGATTACAACTCCCATCAGGAGCAGCCGTTATAGGCTTTCTAAACTGATGGCTTGGGGGGGAAACCTCCTCTTGTTTCTCTTGTATTTGAGGTTGAGAAACTCACGTTTTTGTTTACTTCTTTTGGGAGGGCTTGATCCCCAAATCTGAAGCTGGTTGCAGTCCTGGACCCTCCAATTTTCAGTCTTAAGGGATATCTATGGAGATTCTCAAAGGTCAAAGGTCCTTTTTCAAAAGGCACCTGGACTTGCTTTGTTTTTTTCCCCTTGAAGATGTTTCGCTTCTCATCCGAGAAGCTTACTCCGTTCTGACTGAATGGTGGAGGATGGAAGGATTTATATTCCCTGCAGTCATCTGGTCATTAGTTCTCTTTCTGAGAATTGTTGAGCCTTCCTCTTGGGGAAAAAAAAACCAAGAAAGTCCAATTGCCTTCTGAAAAAAAAACACCTTTGGGATTCTTAAGAATGGAAGAATTTCATCTCAGTGGGAAAGATAATCATGGAAAGGCGCTTACCCCACCCAAAAAATGGAGGCTGGGACTTCGCGGCACAGGATTGCAACCCAATGCCCTTCTCCGACACCCCACCAGAGCTGTGGGTTTCTATCCCATCCAGGCTGGGTGGTTCAGCGATGACCTGATTTATATCTATTTTTTCCTCTTTTCTCCCATCACTTCTCACTTTGGGGGGGGGGGGGGGAAGGTAGCGAGGGGTGAAAAGCAAATTTCCAGCTCCTTCTGTTTTTGTTTTTTTTTTAAATTATGGCACACCTCCTTCACTCCTCTTTTCTCTCCCCCCCTTGTCTTCCCTGCAGATTATAGAAGCGCAAAAATTAGCATCCCGAGATCTCCCACGTGTTTCATTAAAACGCCACAAACCAACCTCGAGTCTGTTTTGCTGGATTCTTTCCCCTTCCTCTGGGTTATCCCCCCACGGCCTTCAACCAACCAGAGACCCTCGCCTCTTCTCCTTTGTCTTTAACCCTGGAGGTGATATTCCAGGGGGTGCGAAAAACTTGGGTTTAGAAGTTTCAAAATTATAGTGTGTGTGTAGAATTGTATGCTTAGCATTATTTTTGAAGAGGTGCGTGAGAATATACCGTGTTTCCACAAAAATAAGACCCTGTCTTATATATTTTTGGGCCACCCAAAAAGGCACCAGGTCTTATTTTCGGGGGATGTCATCCACTGACTAACCTCACTTGTGTGTGTGTCGCTCCCAGGCCTCCTTTTCACTGTAGGAGGCCTTCAGGATCTTCTTCTGCAGCCAGCAAGTCTTTCCTGAAGGCCTCTGCAGCCAATAACAGAGCTCTGGATCGATCCAGAACTTTCTTATCAGCTACAGAGGCCTTCAGGAAAGCCTTGCCGGCTGCAGAAAAAAATGGGCCGGCAAGGCAGGTGTCGGGGTGTGCGAGGCCTGGCTACAACTGTCCAAAGGTAAGTAGTAGGGCAGCTTAATTTTTACCCATCCACTCGAGTGGGCGGGATCTTAATTAGGGCTTATTTTTGGGGGTAGGGCTTATATTGGGTGCATGTGTAAAAATCAAACTAGGACTTACTTTCAGGGTGGGTCGTATTTTTGGGGAAATGGTATCACAAGCTTTTTAGGGGTATAGAAAAGGTTGGGAACCTCTGGGTTAGGGGATGATGGGAATTGTATCACACACACACACACCCCACAATCGAAGGAGGACCCTGGGTTGGAAAGGTGACTCTGGGTCCGGGGCCCATAAGCAGAGGATCGACTTCCCTCCCTCTTTTGTCTCTTGCTTTTTTTTCCTAGCAAGAACAGATCCAGCCAGATCTTCAAATCTGCAGCTGGTCGGCCTGGAGCTCTTGTCTTAATCGGGGAGATTAGCAATCGTTTGATTACTTTAGATAAATGCGCCTCGGGGAGGGAGGGGGGCCACCGGTGTGTAAGGGGGAGAGGGAGCCTCACCGTGGCTGTGAAATCCGCTTGGTCTTCTCCCACCGCCCCTTTTCCAGGCTGTGCCGTGATCCTGGGGGCTACGCACCGTGCAGGTAGCCCTCCACTTAGGGCTGCAATGGAGCCCAGTTGCTGAGCTTTGTGGCCCCCCCGTTACGACCGTCCTGGCCGCAACTGTGAAGCCAAATCCCTGCACACCTGCTTTGCAGAGCCAGGATCCTTTTCCCCCTTCTCATTCAGGCCTAAATCTCTCTCTCCTTTTCTTTTTGTCTCATCGCCGCTTCCTTCCTCCAACAGCCTGTCTCCGATATGAAAAGGGCCTTCGATTTCTTTCCCTCCCCCCCCCCCCTTTGCCGACCCAAAGCAAAGAGGATTAAAATGTCCCCGGGTTTAACTCCCTTCGGGGTTGAGCTGCCAGCTGGGGGTTTCCCCCGCCCCGGGCAGGACGTCATGAACTAGGAATAGTAATATTTTAACGTCTCGGGCGTAAGCTTCCCATGCTGCAAAACGATGGCTCGCCCACTAGATCCCTGCGGGAGATTGCAAGCTGGCAGGAGGCTAGTTTATTCTGGGGCATCTGTTGGATCGGGGAGGGTCTCTGGGCTGCATTGGCCCCTTTGCCCCCCCGATCTTCCTGCTTCCTTCCTGCCAGTCCCTTCCAACAGCCCTTGAGCCTCACAGGTGAAGGACCCAGTTCATTTCCCTGTTCTGGGTGTGTCTGTGGCCCAACCAACCTTATTGCCCTGGTGCTTCTGGCTGGCTGGCTTGCTTGCTTCCGCTCTTCTTCCTGGGGCCACAATGGACTTTTCTTTTTTTTTTATGTTTATAACTGTTTTATTGATTTACGATACACAAAAATAATAGAAAAGCAAAAAGGAGAAATAGGGAAGGGGAACTTGTGGAGAAGAAGTGGGGGGGGGGGGAGAACGAAAAGGCATTGATCTCTGACCCCCTTCGGTGCAGTAAAATAAGGCATTAAAGTCAAACCTCAACTTTTTTTGTTTGTTTGCTTTGACATAATAGTTTAAAACTAGCCATTTCTATACCAACAAATTATCTAATCTCTAAGACTCAAAATCAAAGTTTCATTTTTTTTTCCACCTCAAGCACAAGAGGGAGGGAGGGAGAGAAAGAAACAAGGGTGGAAGATAGGAAGGATGGAAGGCAGGGAGAGGAAGGAAGGAAAGGAGGGTGAAAGGAAGGAAAGGAGGGAGGCAGGGGAAGGGGAGGAAGGAAAGGAGGGTGGAAGACAGGAAGGAAAGGAGGAAAGGAGGAAGGAAAAGAAAGGGAGGAAGACAGGAAAAGAAGGGAGGGAGGTGGAAGACAGGAAGGAAAAGGAAGGCAGGGAGAGGGAAGAGGAAAGGAGGAAGGAAAAGAAAGGGTGGAAGACAGGAAGGAAAAGAAGGAAAAGAAAGGGAGGAAGACAGGAAAAGAGTGAAGAAAAAGAAGGGAGGGAGAGGGAGGTGGAAGACAGGAAGGAAAAGGAAGGCAGGGAGAGGAAAGGAGGAAGGAAAAGAAAGGAGAGTGGAAGACAGGAAAAGAGAGGGAGGAAAAGGAAGGAAGGAAAAGAGGGAGGCAGGGAGCGCAGGAAGGGAGGAAAGGAAGGAGAAGAAGAGGGGCCGTTCTCCAGGTCTCAGGAACATCTCGTCTCATAACTGGTGACACCATCTCTCCTCTCCCTGCCTCTCCTTGGCTTTTAATCTGGGACTATCAAGGAGACTGTTACCCCAGCCCACCCTGGTGTCCCCCCCTTCTCTTTTCTCTACTTCTCTTTTCTTTCTGTGCTTCTCCCCCCTTCCCCCAATCCCCCCCCCAACCCGCTGCTGCTTCAGCTCTCAGTAGCACCTCACAGGAACGGTGCATAATTCACACCGGGTCACACACCCTGGCTGCCATGTGCCAAAGCGCCTCTTAACTGTGGCGTAAAAATAGCAGAAGTCTTGCCTCACCAGACTCCCGAAAGTGTTAGTTGCCTGCACTGGGTCCTGAAGATGGGAGCTGGGGGGTGGGGGGCAACGGGATGCCCTGTCCCATGTCTGGGGTGGGTGTGGGGAGAGGTCCCACAGGGGTAGAAGAGAAGAAGGGTCAACGGGGAAGGAAGGCGCGGTGGTGCCCAGTTCGGAGGGGACCAGAACGT